TTAACAGTATTAAATAAAGTGATATCTCTGGACATGTATAGCGGAACGAGAATAGTTTAATGTCGTATATTAAATAAAGGATTAATTTCGAAATTTCCACCTGGTCGACGGACACCTGAAGACGGTGGGAGGTCACAGCAGCCAAAACGGTATGGTAATAACAAAGATGATGACATTTTTTCAAACTGTGAATAATGTAAATAATCATGTCTTCATCACAGAAATTCAGATAAAAATAACTAATGCAGTTTGAAAATTAATTAAATGTTGCCGTCTAATTTTTTTTTTGATTGAACTGTTAAATTCATAAATAAAATGTTCTTCATATGGTTTCAAGAGGTAAAACATACAAGTGAGGATTTGACTTATTAATTGGACAGTATATTGCACTATAAATTTAAATTGTTCTTTACAAACATATTTATGTAAATGATTTCATTTAAGTAATTAAGTAGATATTATGGTCATGGTTATTTTCACCCATGATCAAAATATCTACTGAATTAAAAAATCTTATTTTATTTTTCGAATACTAGACGATAAAACCTTTGTTCAGCGAACTTATTAGCTTCTGCACATGACAGCAGGTAGTCACAGCTAAAACACTGTAGCTTATGTTTATCTAAATATGACATTATGATCGAAATCTTATATCTCTCTTCGTATTTTAGACAAAGGAAGACAGAAAGAAAATGTATGATACGGACGCAATAAAGGAAGGAACGAAAGGAACATTATTATAGATTTCTTGACTCTTGAATTGCAATTTGATTGATTCTTCATGGTTTTAGAATGAGGTTGTCCGGTTGTTTATTTTTGATACTTTGGTCAATTTCATAATTCTTTTTTTTTTCTTTAAGTGTGTTGTTTTTCATTTTCATTGTTTTTCTATTTCCTTTCCTTTTCATCTTTCTTTTGCCTTTCTTTTCTTTCTGTTTGCTTTCTCTTTTCTTACTCGTATCAACTCCTGTTTCCTACTATTTAATTTTTTAAACCCTTTTCTCTTTTCCTTTTCTTTATTTTTCTTTCTTTTTCTACGCTTTCCTTTCTATCCACTTTTTTTTCTTCTTTGTTTTCCTACTCTTGTTGTCTTCGTTTCCTCCTCCTCGCTGACTTCGATTTCTTTTCGTTTTTCTTTTTTTTTTTTGCTTCTGTTCGCTTTCCCCTCTTCTCTTAATTTCTACATCGGACTCTTTTTCTGACAACTTCTCTTCTTTTTCAAAGTATATATGATTATCTAACAGTTCTTTAATTCCTTCGTCCAAGTTTTAAAATCCATCTTCTTACACGTTGCCATATTTTCTTTTCCAAAATGTTCAACGTCATTATTATCCTTACTCTTTTTCTCATCATCATTACGATTGTGGCCGGGTTTTACTAGTTCCCTGCTATTTTCTTTTGCAACTTAAAACTTTCAGAAAAAAGCCAATGCCTTAATTAATTTTCTCACAACTTAAAGATATTTTTATGATGTGTCATTCAAGAATTTGGTGAGATCAGTCCTAGCCCTACCTTTTCTTTTATTTTTGAAAAAATATTTTTTTCACGACAGAATCTTATTCCTGATTATAGCCGTTATGTCAAAGTATATCTTGGGTAAAATCTCCATTTACTCTGATAACAAACTATTTCAAATTACAATTATTGATTGAATTTAACATACGACATAGCGGAAGATATACAAAAATCTAATCGCGGGGAATTGAAATGACAAAATGGAAAAATTCCTTCGCTACACGTTTCGTCCCTCGAAATGTCTTGTTCAGGCTAATAATTATTATATATATATATATATATATAATATTAATTAAATATATATTAGGTACCTCTACGAAAACGCTAAATAATCAGCATACCGTGATGAAAACATGCTTCAAACATAATGAAAACATAATTTTATCGTCAAAATCGTTATGTTATTATTAGGCGGAAGGATCAAAGTATTTTTTTAATCATATAATTAAAGTTTTTACTCTTTTTTAGAACATTCGAAATTTTGATTAAATATCTTGTTTTTGTTTGCATGAGCGGCTGAACTAAGTTTTAGTATAGCAAATTTTAGCCTCTTTTTGCTGTGACAGTCACATTAATTTGGAAATTCTTGCAAAAATCAAATAATTGTCGGATTTTAATGAAATTTTCAGGACTTATTCACAAATGAATTAAATTATTTTTATTAGAAAATCTTGATAAAAATATTTTTTTTACACGTGTGCTGAAACACATGTAAAAAATATTTTTGATGATTTTCTAATAAAAATAATTTCATTCATTTGTGAATAAGTCCTGAATATTTCATTAAATCCAACAATTATTTGATTTTTATGAAATCTTGAGAAATTCATCGAGATAATATTTAGTGACTAAAAATTAGTTAAAAGCAAAATTCTTTGAAGAATTTAAATCAGTGAATTTTTTTGTAAAATCGAACCCGGTCCTACCGAAAATCTGTTCGAAATCGAAAAAAAAAAAAAAAAAAAAAAAAAAAAAACAATTATTTAATTTCATTTGTTTTTTACAATTTTTTAAATTGAATAATTTATAAAGTCTTTAAATCTTTTATAATTCATTTTCAGTGATATAATTCTTGGTAAATATTGTTAGGTAAAACTATATTTACTAATAATATATTGTAAAGTTTATTACAATCTGACCACTACAAATATTTTAAAAAGAATTTCGATTTGTTTTTGCATGTGTGACTACGTGCAGAATTTCTGAGGTATGGATAGACAAACTGATAAATCTAGCATTTAAAGGTCATGTGTTTTAAGGATTGTCCCCTTCTATTACGGCGAAAAACAACCAATTTTATCGTCTGCTTCACCATATTTAACTCTGAACACGTTCGGCTGTCAATCGAATGTAAATAAATCGATTAATTCGTCAGAAAAACAAGACTCCGTAGTTAAGAAATGTTTGTATACAACATTCTACGATATAAGTAAGTAATATTTGTTTCAAATCAGATTAATTTAACTTTAAATTTGCTAATTTTCCACAAATAACGTTTCAGAAATATATATTTTATTTTGTAAGATTTTTAAACCGAGAATTAACTTTTGTTTACAAAGGTTTCAAAAATGACCGTTTTGATTGATTTTATTGAAAAAAATCGATTCCGATCAATATAGTTTCTATTTGAAATACACCACAGAATATTTTGCTGACTGAAAATAGTAAATTTTAAGTCCTTTAGCTTTCAAGTAAAACTAAAATGAAAGCTTCAAGAATGCTTTTTCATTTAAAAAAAATCATTTTAAAGTTTACATATACTGAATTAGTGGACCTACCTAGATTATATGAACACAAAAGGGACTTTTTACGAAAAAAATGCACTCAATTCATTAGTCGTATATCGAAATAAGTCTGGCAATAATTTCAACTTAATGCAGTTTTAATTAAAACAGAACGTAATTTATTAAAGCGAAAAACAATACTCTCAAATATATTTAGTCGTACACCATAATAGGTCTAATCATAATTTCGACTTAAATACAGTTTTTTTTTATTATTAAACGAGAAAGTAATTTATTAAAGCGAAAAACAATACACCCAACGCATTAGTTGTACATAGTAATAGGTCCTACCAAAATTTCAACTTAAAGAATGCATCATAATCGTGCATCATAATTGGTCTGATCATAATTTCGACTTAAAGAAGGCCAGAGGCCACAATCGAAAACGTTGTGATAATGACAACTAAGTTGAAGAGAATTGTCCACATATAAATAATGTAAATAATTAAAGAATGCAGTTTTAATTAAAAGAGCAAATAATTTATTAAGGCGAAATTGTATGGAAAATTTACTAATTTCAGAATTTTTCACGCTACATTTACATGCAGGAGTATACAGTATATTTCGTTTCCTATCAAAACTACTGTTATTACGATGTAGTTTATTTAAAAACAATAGCGATACAATTAAAAATATAATCAACATAAAGCTGAATGAAGTCGGTGAGGTTATGCATCTAGAATCAGACGCCAAATAGTTAAAAATCTAAATTTAAAGCCAAGTATCTTCAGCCTTTCTCGATGTAGAATTGTAACCGTTGTTTGTTGTATTTGTAAGAAGTTCGAAAGACGAAACGTGTGACTTATGAACTTTTTTTCTAATTTGTCATTTCAATTACCAAATACAACACAGCTCTATGGAAAACAAATTTAGAAATCCGCAAACATCAACGGAAAGAGCAATGCTAAAGATAACACGAAGTGATAGAAAGAGGCCGACATGTATCAGCGAACACGCTACGATAAAAGATATCGTAGAAGTGATCAAACGATAACAGTGGAGGCGGGCAGAACACGTAGCAAGTTAAAAAGATAACAAATGGAATAAAAGGATGCTTGATTGGTGGCCAGTGGGTAACAATTGTAGTAGGAAAACGTCTGATAAAAGATGCTGAGCTGAAACAGCGGGATTTGCTAGTAAGACATGACAGGTAATAACACAGTTAAAGAAGTCATAGGATTTGAGAAAGGCCTTTGTCCTGCAGTGAACTAGCAATAGATGCTTGCTTAGTGGCTTCAGATATCTTTGGAATATGCCAAAATTCGCAGGGAAACAAATCTTTGAATATTAGAACTTGGTGCTCGTATCAAGTTTAAGCTCAAAATTCGAATATCAGATTCTCATAGAAATATCTTAAAGAGAAGAAGACATGAAATTTTCTTACTTAGCAGCCAGTAATATATTAGGAAAATTCAGCCGTTCTTTTGATGTGTGTATGTGTGTGATTGGTTGATTGTTATCTTATCAACCCTTTGCAGGTTATTTAAAGCCAGAAAATATTTATAGATTGTAAGAATTTTTTGAGATAATGATAATTTACTGATATAAGTCTTATCAATTAATTCATATCTGGGAGAGGGTGTCATACCATTCCCAAGGGTATTTTCGCCTAAGTGAATATAACAAACTAGTCTGCAATTGGAACACGACTACGATTTCCAATTCCGAGCAGTTATCCATTACATCACCCACATATCCAAGCTTACAACACCTGGTATTCCCAAGCGGTCTCTCATCAAGGTGCTAACTAGGCTCGACGTTGCTTAACTTCGGTGATCATATTTCAATGTGATATGGCCGTAAGCCGCGTGATTGTGTGTGTGTTTCTAAACGAATGATTGTGCAAAACTGAACGTACAATAAAAGTTGGATTCTAACATCATCATTTATTTTAAACATAGTTCACTTGAATCCTAAAAGACGTCTATGTGAACATGCATTAAATATAACGCCACAAATTACGCAGCACTTATTTCGATTAACCGTGTTACTTAGAACGATTACTGCGCTACTTATGTAAATGTAAACAGTCTTAGTTGACAATAATATAAGTGACTATATTTACGACTAAATTGTTTAAATAATGCACTTACTCTTGTTTGTGTGACGTGGCAATAATTCTAAGTAACCAAGTAATCGTTTTAAATTCTCTGAATATTGGTGCCTTACCTAAATTTAATTCATGAAAATTTTAGCGATGTTCTATGAGATATGAATCAACCTACATTTAATGCTTACTTGGTGGCTGAAATAGTTGCATATTTCACTGATGCTTGAAGCTAGAGTTAGTTTAGATATGTCCTTAGATTTTAATTTTCAAAATTATAAATTAATTCTTGTTCTTTTATTGTTCTCTCTTAATAGCATTTTTTCTTATATTCTCTAACATTCAGTAACCCTCTTGCACCGTAGTGGCTTTAGTGCCTTGCTTGAGGTGAAATGATTAAAAAAAGGTACTGGAAGGTTGGTTCGGTTTTTTGTAGCCAATACATGTGTATTTGCAAAATCATGGTTCATCTATCCTAGGGAAGGGTATGAATCTATCTTTTCCCCCCCTTCATTTACGAGCTAATTGTAGGGCAGCTTGCACTCTCTAGTCGTTATTGGCAACCGGCATAGAAGAAGGACAACTCTGAATTCAAAACTGTATGTAATCTTGGTGGGGTACATATTTAAACTCTACCTAAAATCCACTCAATATAGTTGCAGTATAAATTACAGATTGCCTCTGTGGGTGTTAAAGAAGACTAAGTGAGCCTGAGCAGACGGGCATACAAGAAAAGGCGGTCATGCTACTGATGAGAAATCACACCGATTTGTCGTGTGCCTTTAAGTCGAAGTAGCTTTGATGATGACTTATCTATTCCTAAACCGAATAAATGCTTATAAACTCAAATAAATAAATGGAAAAAAAAACAAAACTGATCCTGATATTAAGTAATCCAACATGTAAAACCAACCAACCCTATACATCCACAGTCCTATAGGGTGGGATGTGGGAATAAGCTTTATCCCTCTCCAACTTTTTGATGGGAGTTTGAACAAGAACAGAAGATTAAATTTGTCTTCTTGGTTTCAATCGGTGACAATGACATTGAGCTGAGCTATATCGTTTGAGTAAAATAATTAATTTTCAAATTAAATCATAAAACTTCATTTTACTTTTTTCTCTTCTAAAACTCTAATATATGCAAAACACACCTATATCCTCATTCTCGAAAGTACATAGAATCAGCTAACAAAATGGTGGATACATCCCCCAAAAAGCGATACCTAACATTTAAAAAGCATTTTAAAAATGAAAATCTTTTCTTGAAGCTTTTATTTTAGTTTTAATTGTAAATCAGTGGATTAAATTTAATATTTTTAAGGAGCAAAATATTTTGTAATAATGTCGTGTATGGACGTCCGTATTTACAAAAATTGGCACGTTTATGCACACAAAAAAGAATCAAAATTCTTTTTAAAATACAAAGGTTGCTGAATTGTAGTAAGCTTTTCCATTTATGATTAGTACGTATAGATTTTATGTAATAGTAATATCATTTGATTTAAAAAGTTATAAATTATTATAATTAAATTTAAAAAATAACAAATGTAAAAAAATATTATCAAGATTTTCTAAAAAAAAAAAGTTTCAAAAATAAATTCATTTGTCGTTTTGAATACACCCTGAAAGTTTTATTAAAATTCGATAATTATTTGATTTTTGTAAGAATTTCCAAATCTATTTTTTTTTCATCGCAAAAAACGCTCAAGATTAAAAACTATTTTTTACATGAAAAATCTTCGTAATAATAACAGATTTTGACAATAAAATTTGGGCATTTTTTCATGTATGCTCATATTTTTAGCGAATTTTTAGAGGTATCTACAAAATGGGTTTAATCAAAAAAAAAAAATCATCAAAATAAATGTTTATGCTCAGGCATAATAGATCTGAAGAAAATATTAGTTTAGAATCAAATGAAATTAAAAAATCGAGTCTTCAAAACACCTTCGTCTTCCCTACACTTTTATCATTTGCTTTATTTTAGTCCCTTAACTTTTTCTTTTGTGGCACCGTGCTTGCCACATGATTAACATTGAATGAAATGAATAAATAAAAAAAACAGTCTAGCTACATACGCCTCGATTCGAACTAGCACAAACCCGATTTTCCTCACCACAACAAAACTGTAAAAATCATTAATCTTTCTATTGATGTTATTCAGGGTTAAGCGTTAAATTTCTAGATTTAAAGAACAGAAAAAAATTTATCTCAATAATCAAAACCGATTGTTAAAAGCTGTGTTGGAGCAGAGTTAGAGCAAATAACAGAAAGAAATATCGAGTTAATTCATTTGATATTTCTTTTGCTTGGCTACAACAAAGACGAAGACAAAGGCGAACAACAAGAGTCGATAATTTTATCAATTCTTCCGACAGGCGAGCTTCTCTAAACAATAAAAGCCGTTGGGTTGCTCTTCACATTTTTTTGCCGTTAATTTGATTTTCATTGGTACAAACAACTTTAAAAACAATAAGGTTGAATTGAAAACTTTATTGATATGAAGATTGTTAATGACATATACAAAATCAATTGTTTTTGTTTTTATCTAAAACCTATCCATAGCAAACCTATCTTCTTCTTCTTCTCTCTCTTTCACGATCTAAAAATCTCTTGAGTTAAATTTTTAAAATGAAAAGAGAGCATGGTCATTTTGTTTTTCACAGTGTGAATAGAGCTTATTTTAAATTTTGAACAAACACAGCGTGAATCTACCTTTTGAATTCGTGAATGGAAAACTAACGTGATACTCACAAGCGATATTCCCTACTTAACCTAGGAACATTTTTTGATGCTGAGACTGATCCGAGGTGGAGGTTGGTCGTTTTTACAGGCTAATAGCCGGATGTACAATCATCTGTGCTCTCATGTAGCCTCTAGGGTTAGCGTGTGTCAATTCTGTCTGTCTGGCTTCTCTTATACTTTATTTAAGGGAAACGCACAGACGTAGATGTAGACATCTGTGGCAAGCGAGTGTTGCGTCGATAATGACCAGCATTCAGGTATATTTGTGTTTGTTTTAAAATTTGTTTTTAGTTGCGGCATGTTTGTGTCTTAGCTAGACAAAAATTGGTGTGTTGGATATATGTTTTCTAATAATTGTATAAATTTGGCTTTAATTTGTTATCTCTATATGTAAATTATTTTTTTTTGGGTACAAGATTGTTATGTGAACAAAAATACATAATTTCAGTTGTACAGTATTAATAAAAAGTAATACATAAATATTTTTATTTTTCTTCTATGGTAAAAAACATCTATAAGTCAACAAATATGTATCAATAAATCTTTAATCATAAGTTTATAAAAAAAAAGTAGTATTTACGGGTTTATACCTAGAATTCATTAATTTCCACCGCCCAATCTTTGAGCCATTAGACATTAGTGTGTTAAATATCTATAGAATGCAACATATTCATAAGGTTACATTGCAAGTGGAATGCGTTTGATTATCATCTGGCGTTCCGCTTTTGTGGCATTTTGTCAGACTATTTAAACATTACAAATGACTGGAAATTAAATTGTTTAGTTCAATGTTTCCTAAACTTTTCCTAACTGTCGTCCCCTTGGTGCACAAGTCACGTCCCTAGAACTTACCTCCTGCAAACATATGACAACACGTTTTTCTTCGTATTAGATATAATGCAAATTCAAAACAAGTAACTTAACACCAGACGAACATCCGTAGCAGTATAGCTACAACCTAGAACATTGGCCCCTACAGATATTGACTCTGGGATCTGGCTGGCGTGTGGCATGTCTTGTTTAGATAACGCCAGCAAGATACAAACAAATTTCGGACAGGTAAATACAAAATAAACTAAAATAATGTGTTCGTACATAACTCTTACACTAATTTCATTCTTTGTAAAGCGTCTGTGTTCCATAAAACCTAATGGTTTTATATTTTGTCATAGTGATTTTGTGAAAAACAGGAAAAACTCTAATGTCACCCTAACGGCAAAATTTTTCCTGTCATTTTAGATCGTTCCACCGCTCCTAAGATGGATAGGGACAGTACCGCCCACCTTGGGAATCCCGGGTTTAGTGGGTTAAATAGTTGTATATCTTAGCGGCATTACTGGTCTTTTTTAAATCTCAGTAGAAGCCAGAATTTCAAATGCCGAATATATATATATATATATATATATATATATATATATATATATATATATAATTATTATTATTAATATAATTAATATGAAAAACTTTACTTCAGAGTTTCGTAGCTATATAGGTATAACCACTCGTCGGAACCGAGAACTCTGGTCCGACCAATGATTATGTCTATATAGCCCCTTAACATGAGTTAAGTGAAAAAAAAAAACTTTTTCATATTAATTCTATTAACGCTCTATCGCTATCTTCGAAATTCCATAAGGAACAAGAGAAACTAGGTATATAAGAAATGTCGTCTTCAAGCAGCTCAGTTCTTAGAACCAACAGCCAGACTACCTGCACATATCCTTTGATTATAATGGTGAAAACTTGTACAGAAACAACCACATTTTTTGGAAGAGCCGTATACAGAGAACTCGTGAACGGTATACCACAAGGTCCCCAAACAATTCTCCGCAGGTTTTGAATTCAGAGTTGTCTTTCTCCTAGACCGGTCTGTTCTGCTATTTACCCATAGCTGGAGTGTGGGAGAAGAGATGGATACGTATCTTTCCCAAGGGTATTAACACGTAAGTGAATGTAATGAACTTGACCGGAATTTGATCTCCGAGA